GATGTCTTACATGGAAGCTTGGAGACAGTCTCTGTCTTTTTCTCATCTCGTGAGTTGTAAAGACCATGCAGGTGCTTGAACCCTTCTTCTCCAGTAGCATGGAGGAACCCACCTGCAGAAGGGGGAAGTGAGGCCAACATGCAAGGACAAGCAAAACTAAGCAGAGATGAGAGATGAATAGAAGTAAAAAGAATCCAGACAACAACTTTGAATCCCTGGATAGAGCCGAGCTGAAGCTAGTCTACTCATGAATCTTTCAAATGAGCCCCCAGAATTCTAATTTCAGCTTAAAGTAATCTAAATTGGATTACTATAAACTGTAATCTAGGGTGTGAGTGGCTGACACAAAAAGAGGCAAAGGTGTGAGAGCTGAGAAGTCCCAGGAACTAAAGACATGATGTTGCATGGGTTGGCCTGGCAGGCATTAAAGTCCCCAAGATGAAGGCAGTCCCCCTCAGTGGGCATGGAGAAGATACCTATGAACCATTTGCAAAAGTCTTAAGTAGGGAGAATAGACAGGATGTTAATAGGTAACCGTCAGGATGATCAGAAGAAAGCTAAATATCAGCTAGCTGGAGCCTCAAAAGATCAATGGGTTTTATACAAAGTCAAAGAAATAACAGTATGAAAGCTGCCTATGGAAAGAGAAGCATACGGAGCCTACTTATTGATGAGAAACTAAACGGAGTGTGTGATGAGGTGGAGATAGTTACTATTGATAAACTGGGAGAAGCCTTTGTCAGTCAGAGGTTATATAGCCATGAAGTGCTTCCCCAATGGAAATTGTACTCCACTTCTACGTCCCAGGTGTTGTTACAGTATCTCACAGGCTTCCTTAACAGCTCTTCAGATCACCACTGCTTGATCATGAGTCATCTATAAAATGGACTGTAGAGTAGAACTGGAAATTTAGATAGACCAAGTTTAAATTTTTTTCCTAATTGAGATATTTTATGCATATATTTAGACGTCTCAGACAATGAGCAGAATAATAACCTCAGTAGCAATGATCACTCAAGTGTATTTGGTAGAAGAGCTAGTATTAAATATTTTAAAACCTTATCTAAAAATCACATCAACCTAATGCATTTTATTGGACAACATAAAATATACATGGATATTATAGAAGAATAAAATCTAACATAAAAATATGAAGCTGGCCTTCCAACTTTAGAATGAATTGCCACAGAGGGAAAGCCATCAACCAACTGGCATTTTAACAAGGAGGAAAATGGCTTTATTAAAGGATTTTTAATTTGTCCAAATGACAAATAGTTAATGTGTATATGGACTATACACATGCACAGAATTTATTTTTCTTATCGCATAAACCCTTTCCACTAAAATCCCTAAGGATCATATTCAAAA